GCCCAGAAAGAATAGTCGGTCAACAATAATACAACACTAGATGTTAAAATCAACGCCTCAAGTACAATCATTCCTTTGGTATTTGCACAAGCCACACCAACACTTAAGCTGAGGGAAATAGTGAACAGCCCAAGAAATACAAATTTCAGGGGATGTTTTTGTTGGTAATGGTAAAGTGGGCACATCAAGATAAGAGGCATGAAGGCAAGAACGAGAGTGAGAAAAGGAGATCTGATTCAGGCGTATAGAATCCGCCGGAGGATGAGAGAATGGCGGTGGGGGCAGCCATAGCACAGACCTGCATCTGGAGCGCAGCAATGTAGTCGGAAGCCTCCTCCATAAGAGTCTGGAACGAGACCCTCCGGCATCCCGAAACAAGCCTGCCTAGGACTCTTGCCTTACACTTGAGAAACTGCGACCTCTTCTTCTTCCTTACAGAGAAGCCGTCATAGACAGCCGAGAAAAACTTCGGCCGCGCGGGGCAGCAGACTGATGTGAGTGGATTTGGCTGCTTGAGATTTAGATTCATACTAGAGAGGATGGCACGGCTCCATCGACTTTGGCCCCGCCCTGATATTGCTAGGATCTGATTGGCCGCCTCCCGGATGGCCCGGGTTTGGCTGGGGGCTTCAACCGCTAGTGTGGATCTGCGGACACGGAGAAGGGTCTCAATTCTCGAGTCCGAACAAGCCGTGATACTGGCGTGTATATCCCTCAAAATCGTTGAGAGGATGGAAGATGTGAGGTCTTGGGCTCGGGTGTGAGCATCCATGGAGTATGGTCGTGGAATCATCAGATTCGTCAAGGAGAGGCGGCGTCTTTTGCTTCTTGCCTTGCTGCGGCGAAGATGTCGTTGATGCACTCGCAGCAAGTCTCGGTGAAATCGTCGTAGACCAGGGTCTGGAGAAAAAATCGTTATTCCCCTCCGTAGCAATCGGGACTGGAGTACTTTCGCCGAATCGGGCGTCATGGACCATTAGGTTATCGGATCTAGCGAGCGGCGAGCCGGAGAAGAAGAGCGGAGCTGGATCAGATGGCTTTGACAAAAAGGCATCGAGGATATGGTTGGTGGATTTCGGCTCCAAAGCGATTGCCGGCGAAAAAATCCGCTGAGGTTTCGGACAGATCACTGACCGATCGCCGTAAGAGAAGTTTGAAGACGCTCCTTTGATTCTCTCTGCAGAGAGGAGAGCCGGCGTGATTGAAAGGGGGTAGAGAGATTGAGAGCTTCCAAGAGGGCCCTTGGAGGATACAAATGATCGAAGCTGAGATTGGGGGTCCGAACGGATCTCCCCTGTGGAGTCGTCGAGTTGACGTCGAATTGGAAGATGGAGTTAGTGTCGCCGGAATTCCACTTTCCTCCACAATCGCCTCTCTCGATCGAGAAAAATTTGTTATTCCTCTCCCTTCCTGCACAGAGGATGGCAGGAAGGGAGTCCGACAATTCTCACAGGAGGCTTGATGGCTAGAGTACGAAACTAGGCTCTGATACCATGTTGATTTTAGAATAATGCGGAATACTTCAGAATGTTTGATTTTATTGATGCAAAGAGGGGTATAGGACTTACTGGTATGAAAAACAATAAAAACATAATACAATAGAAAATGAAATGAATAATAACAAAATATAAGAGACAGTTAATCTTTCTAATTAAGGAGAGAAATAAATAGAGATTCTCAAGATCATTCATATAATTTATAACCCTCTAAATATAGAGTTATAATAAATATGAAATATAATTATTAGTATTTTCGAGCTCTTTCAACATAAACTTAATTAAAAAATTAGTTTTATCACCGGGGGAATAAAATTTAATTAAATAATGTGCTATTTTTCTGACATTTAATAATACATATTAGTCAATATTATTGAAAGATCAATTGATGCAAAAGTTTGATATTTTAAGTTCCTTGGCTATATTATCTAAAATAATAGAGTATTGTTAAGAACTTTTTTTTTTTTTTTTTTTGAGGTCAAAATTAGGAGTTAGTTAACATGAATATCTCTGTTAGAATTTCTATATAATAAGAGAATGGTGTAAATAACTAAAGAAAAAATTCTATTAATTTATAATTATACCGGCTATCATATATAATATGAGCATTGACCAATAAAGAGGTCATTAATAATTGATTTAATATAGTGTAAATACAAATATTAAGATGCAATGAGAGAAATAACTACTGAAAATAAGATAGTGAAAATTAGTTAGGTTAGTATGTGCGATTAAGAAAGAAGTTTTATAAGTAAGACAAGTATAGTTAATTAATGTGGATTAGGAAGGGAAAGGAGTAAATCAAATATGACTTGACATAAAGTTTTTGCAAAAAGATTTGCATAAAATTGAATTTAACATCTAATAAGACTTGATTTGATTTGTTATCCTTTTAAATAGTTAATTCAAAATTATCAACAGTCTTCGAGGTTCGTATAAAAGAATGCCATGGCATGCCAACAGAGATAATGCAAGTGCCACTTAATCTAGGAATGGGTTAAGCACTCAAACATATAAGACTTGTTGTTCTTCCAGAATGTGCAAAATTCATTGATCTAAGTTTAATTTCGTGAAGTCCTTAGACTTCACACGCTAAGGATATATGACCGTGAAAACCCAATTCTTGGCAATCTACTATTCCCATTTATGGGAGTTTCAACCACCACTTAATCGGTTCAAATGCCACTTGGTGAATGCCAAGATAAGGCTAATGTTGATGAAGTTGGTAAGAAGTGAAGTAGCCTCGAATTATTCTTTCAATAGTTTGATATAAACTAGACAAGCATAATCTCTTCCCCTTTCTCTCATGTTTTTTTTTTATTAATCTCTCCAGCTTTCTTTTTTGTTGAATTGGTTTCTCTTTTCAATTATTTTTGTGAAAATATTTTTCCTTATTGTTTGATATAACACTGTCATTGCCGGGTCCCAAGCCCCTGATGTAAAAAGTGGAGGGTTACGTTAGGTAGTCGACAACCAGCATAAAATTTGTCGAAAAATATACAGCCAAACATGAGAGCCACTACATAAATTCTTTTAATCATTTTGTAAATGCTAGGCTGTATGACCTGAATACAGTGAAAAGTGTGCTAGAGCCACTATACCGACGTCTGGGTGTACTGTCAATAAGTAAGTGTTCTCACATTGCAAATGGATGAAGGTAAAAAAATTAGTTCATGAAACTAATATTAGGATAAATATTGGAATATAGGTACTCTCACAGGTAAACTAACGAAATTAGTTGATATTATGATTCATAGAAAAATAAATATCTTATTTATTCAAGAAACTAAATGTGTTGGAGAAAAGGTTAAGGAGAGTAATAGCTTTGATTTTAAACTTTGGTAGTTAGGTGAAAGTCACACTTGAAATGGTGTAGGTGTAATTTTAGATAAGAGTTTGAAAATTAATGTTGTAAAAATTAATTGAATTTGAGATAGAATTTTAACTCTTAAGATTGTTATTGATACTAAGATTTTTAATATTATAAATATTTATGCTCCTCAAAAAAGTTTAGATATAGGTTCCAATGAAAAATTCTAGAATGATCTAAAATAATTAGCACAAATGATATCTCTTAAAGAAAAAATTTTTTTTGGAGGATATTTAAATGGACATGTCGGTAGAGTGGTAGAAGATTTTAGAAATATTCTTGGTGGCTACGGTTCTGGAGTGATTAATGAAGAAGGTAGAGTCATATTAGATATTGTTTTCGCGTATTTTTTTGTTATGCTAATATTTTATTCAATAAAAGAGATGAACATATTATTATTTATAATAATAGATGTAATAAAACATAAATTGATTATTTTCTTATGATAAGAAGAGATCGTCAAGAATGTAAAGATTGTAAGAATGTAAAGATTGTAAGTCAAGAATGTAAAGATTGTAAGGTCATTTTTAGTGAGAATTTAAAACATTGGTTATTAGTTATGAATTTTAAGATGAAGAGTTATAAAATAAAGAATATTAGGAATCATTGTCATAGAATTGAATGTCATAGAAAATCATTGTCATAGAATTGAATAGGGGCACCTAAAAGACACAAATAAAATTATTTTTATTAGTAAACTTCAAGATTTCTAGATTTGAGATGTTCATGAAGAAATAAATTCTATATGGGATAAAGTAACAAACACTATCAAACAAGTGACAAAAGATGAACTTGAAGAATCAAAAGGAAAAAAAATTTATAAATAAAAACAGTTGGTGGAATAAAAATATGCAAAAAAAGATAAAATATAAGAAGTTATGTTATAAAAATTGGTTTGAATGTAAAAGCTTAGAGAACTGGGAAAAATATAAAATTGTCCGTTGGGAGTCTAAGAGAACAATCTGTGACGCTAAAAATTATGTTTTTATTAATCGTTATAATTGATTAGATACTATAAAGGGTGAAAAATATATGTATAAATTAGCCAAACAAAGAGAAGAAAAGTAAATATTTAACTCAATTAAAATGTATTAAAGATGAAAATCAAAATGTATTTTTCTTAGAAAAAGATATTCAAAATAGGTGGGCGAGTTATTTTGATAAACATTTCATTGAAGTTTTTGAAAATGGAATCGACTTTAGTGATCTTAATATCATTAATAATAGGGTTTACATCATTTTTAAAGTAGATGTTTTAGATTCGACCTATGTTAAAAAAGGCAAAGGTAAACCTAGAAAGACTTGGCAATATTGTATAAAAAATTATTTTAATTTATTAGATTTAAATGAAAATATGACACTCAATAGGACACAATGGAAAAAAAAGATTCATGTAGCCGACCCCATTTAGTGGGTTTAGTGGTAGTGGGATAAAGGCTTGCTGGGGTTGTTGTTGTTGTATTCTAACTTTTTATCATAGTCTACAAGTGCTACCAAAAACTATATTGTGTTCTTTGCTTTATGTATTGATGCAGGAAAATGATGATGAAATCCTTTTTTTTTAGTAGTCTTCTAGCAATTTTTTGCATTTCACGGGCTTCCACTTAATTTGATTAGTTTTGTTTATGAAACAGGAAAACTTCCAGCCTTTGAGGTTACTTTTGGAACGTGTATGACCCACTTGCCACATATTAAAGGGTTAGGAATCCCTCTATGTTTTATTATTAATTTTTTATTCAACATCATTTTTAACATCTGATTTTATGTATTTTGAAAGTTATGTAAATGATCTAGTTTCTTGAAAGATGAAAAAGAAAATACAAGTGTTCCAGATTCGATTGTGAGTTGCACAAGGAGAGTCATCCTAAGGATCCCTGTGGCTTCTTCTGTTTTGTTTTTCTCACATTCCGCCTGTGGAAAGGTTAAAAATGCAAACCCATTCAATGATAAGCGTCTTCTAGAGCAGAACAAGAAGATCCAAGAGGCTAATCAAGCACCAAAAGACTTCCCAAACTTCATTAGAGAAGGTTAATTTTTCTCATTGTTTAGTCTTATGATTGCTTTGGTAGCTATTAACTAATGAGTGATGATGAACTGAACTCAAAATAGCTTAAAATAATTTATCAAATTTTGAGTTTAATTTTCTATTATGGTTATAATATGACTTGTATTGCTTGATTGGTTTCCTGAGCCATTAACAAAGCGGCAAAAGTTTTGTATCCTTGTTTCCTATTATTATAGATGAATCGAAGTTTCAATTGTCTTTTGCCCTTCAAGAAATTATACAAAATATTATACGTTGTCTTTTGCAGAAAATGCTATTTAATGATGATTTTCTTATGGATTATTCATTATAAAATATTATGGGATCATTTGGTTTTCATCAGCAGTAGCAGCAAAAGAACATGGGATCCCTAGGGGGCTGTTGCTTAGGTATTGGTTTCTTTTTTGGAAACTGACAAAACATAGGGATTTCAAGAGAATGGATGAACATTCTAATGCCTAGTTTCAATAAATCACTAGCTTGAGGCTTTGTGAAAAAGGATGTTTGGTTCCTCTTTTCAATCTGTTCAATTACAGTTATCTCTAAAGAGTACTTTTTCCTATGTTTTATTTACTTAGATCAAACAAAAAATGAAAAAAAAAAAAAAGGAAAGGAAGGAAAGGAAAAAAAATCAAACACAACATGAGCCTACCTAGTTTTAGTGCCACTTACTTTCAAGCTAGTTAGTCATTCTTTGGCCGCTTCTTTCAACTCTTTTGTAATCATTCAAAGCCAAAAAAAAGGTTAACTTAAGCAATCATAAAGATTTAGAGTGCTTGAGCATAAAGTACTTCTGCAATCCTAATGCCTTTCTCTAATTATTTATGTTGAATGTTTTCTAAGGTGTTACTTATTTTACAAAAATAATTTTACACGATTTTTAACCAAATTACTTTAGACATGCCATTTTTTGACATTGATGTCTTATATCATTTTATTAGCGAAATATGACAATAGGACTCGAGGTAAAAAAAAAAAAAAAGGTTTCATGCAGTTAAGTAGGATAAAGGCTTGTTGTTGTTGTTGATTTCTTATATCATTTTATTAGCAAATCATTTATTCATAAGAGTATAAGCCATACTCTATTTTTCAGTACATTATTTTCAACAAAATACTTCCACCGTCCTTTTTGTATGGCCATTTCTCAATCTACTCTTTGTTGCACGCATCTATTTGAGCATTTTCATTGCATGCTTACTTTTTTGTGAACAATTTATTTAATGTCCAAGTCGTAGGCTCTTACAATATGGGGTGATTACCTGTGATTTTATTAAATTTACCTTTAGATATGTATGACATTCTTTGACCCCATAATTTTTTTTTACATTTCACCTTTTTAACTGTCTTTTTAAATCTAGAAGTTGTATACTCATATATTTTTTTTAAAATAAATCCATGATACCGAAACTCATCATACTTAAGTATTACTTGATCATCTAATTATATGGATAATTATGCTTTACCTCAGTCAGTTGATGGTAATGAGCACTTAAGACTCTTGTGGTTCATAAATATATGCTTAACTTCTACGTGCTATCTACTAAAATCATGATTTTTTTCCTCACAAAATAACAATAAAAACAAAGCTTTAATCCCACTACGTGGGGTCGGCTACATGAATCTTTTTTTTCTATTGTGTCCTATGTAGTGTCATATTTTTATTTAGATCTAATAAATTAAGATCATTTTTAATTTTTTTTCCTCACAAAACGATAGAAAAAAATTTAAAAATTCTCTTGCACATTAATTATATTTATAATTGGGCCACATACCTCTTCCTTCTCTTTGGTTGCTCAGACGTAAACTTTATTGTACTACATGTCACCTTGCGCAATCTCTATCGCTTCGACAAGAAAATTATTATCAAGTTTTTCTTCCTCACCTCCTAAATCCTAATTAGATTACACTATTTTTACCCTCTCCTGACACCTCTCCTACACTCTTATAATTGTGTCATCAGTATTCAATTCCTCTTCCTCTTTTTCTTCATCTTTCTTATGTGTCATTAAAACATGCGTCCACCTAGTTTTAGTGCCACTTACTCTCAAGCTAGTCAGTCATTCTTTGGCCTCTTCTTCCAACTCTTTTATGATCTTTCGAAGCCAAAGAAATTGTACTACAGCAATTTTAAATATCTGGAGCGTTGAAGCATAAAATACGTTTGCAATCCTTATGCCATCCTCTAATTATTGTCGTTTACTGTTTTCTAAGATGTTTTCATATTTTATGAAAATATTTTTACGCAATTTCTATCCAAATTACTTTTGATATGCCATTTTTCTCTAATTTTTTGCATTGATTTATTATATCATTTTATTAGTGCATCTTTTGTTCATTAGTATACACGCTAAATTCTATTTTTCAATACCTTATTTTCAACAAAATATCACTTTCACCATCCCATTTATATGATCATTTTTCAGTCTATTCTTAGTTGCACACAGATCTATTTGAGCATTTTAATTGCATGCTCAATATTTTTGTGAACGTTTTATTTGATTTCTAAGTCATAAATTCATACAATATAGGTTGATTACCTACAATTTTATTAAATTTATCTTTAGATATTCATGATATTCTTGGACCCTATTGTACTTTTTTTGAAACTTCTCCTTTTTAATAAGCATGTTTTAATTCTAGAAGCTATATACTCAAATATATTCTTTTTTTTTAAAAATTGATCCATGATTCTTAAATTTATCACACTCAAGTATTACTTTATTATCTAATTATAAGGGTAATCATACTTTATCCGCATCACTTGATCGCAATGGGCGCATAAGGCTATGTGGTTCATAAATATATGCTTAATTTTTGTGTGCTATTTACTAAAGTTGTGTTTTTTTTTCCTTTCAAAATGATAGAAAAAAGTAAAAAAATGCTCTTACAGATTGATTACATGTATAATCGGACCACATGTCTCATCCTTCTCTTTGACCCTCAGACGTCAACCTAGTTGTACTACATGCTGCCTTCCACAATATCTTCCCCTTCAACGAGGAAATTATTATCAAGTTGCTATTCCTCACCTCCTCATTAGATGAAAATGTTTTTTGTTCTCTCTTGACACTTCTCTTACGCTCCTATAATTTTATTATCAATGTTCTATTCTTCTTCCTTATCTTCCAACCAATCTTCATGGAAAGTGTCAGGTCCTCGATGGACCTCTTTGACTTCTATGACGGCTCATGCCTTTTGTACTGTCATCCTCCGCTTAGTCTCTCTTTCTTACTTAAATAACTTTGTTCAAGTCTTCTTGTCAAGACTTTAGGTGACCCCATATTGTTTTGCTTATACTACAACAAAAGTCAATCAAGTTTTGGAGACACCGATCATAATTGAGATCTTTATCCTGCCTGCACTCCATGATTCCACAATTGTTTGGTGTCCAACACTTCCACTACTTGCTTTGATGACACCCAATGGCTCTTCATCGTAATGCTTTACATTAATGGTGTCCTCTTCTTCCTTGTTGAGAGTTGCTTATGTATTTTTTCTCTTGTGAGTAATGTTTTCAGTGGCAAAAATTGGAGAAATCAGTGGAGTTATTGATGGGTATTGTGAGGGAGGATGCACATTGTAGAAGAAGGGGATGGTATTTTTGGAAGAAAATAATTGAAGGTAAAATCACTCGTTTGATATTTTAAGCGGGAAATGTCATGTTTTCACATCATTGATGAAAAATATAATAAGGATACATTCGTCAAAAGCACTGTGTTTAATCATATGTTTTGAAACCTTACGTATGCTATTTGATTATCACGATCAACCTAAAGGGGGTGAAATGTAATCACCCTCTAGTAATATCGGTCGCTGATTAGTGATATCACTCCCACCGAACCTATTTATAGTATATTTAATCTTTGATCTATTAATCATCATCTTATATTTTAAATATTTCATTATTAAAACTTTTTACTTATTTAAATATTGATCTAGCCGACTAGAACTATTTCATTTGCAAAAAAAACATACATAAATGTACCTAATGTTGCATATCCTGTATAAACTTCTCCATAACCAATAAAAATTATGTCACCTTAATACTGGTTTTTAAATCTATTACAAGTAGAAATACCTTCGTGATACTTGTGAGTATCACTTAACTTATTTATAGTATATATAATTTTTATCTATAAATCATTATCTTATATTTTAAATATTTCGTTATTAAAACTTTTTACTTATTTCAATATAGATCTCGCCGACTAGAACTATATCATTTGCAAGAAACATACATAAATGTACCTAATGTTGCATATCCTTTATAAACTTCTCCATAACCAATAATTAATACTGGTTTTTAAATCTATTACAAATAGAAATACCTTGGTGATCCTTGTGAGTGCTCAATCATTACTATCAATAATAACATCAGCATACCTTTAGTGCACCTTGTTTACATTGTTGTGCTCAATTTCAATTTACGTGTAATCTGTTATATGTTTTGTCAAGATCAACTAATGCCGTCTGATATCTTTTTGTACTTGTTATTTTTTATTAATCACCTAAGCATAAATAGCATGCACCATGGATCTTCCTAGCATAAAATTAAATTGATTTTCTATCTCCAACTTAAATTTTTTAAGTGGATATTGATTCCTATCTCCATTAATTCTGTTGCATGTCTCGTATATTTGATTCCATTTATAATTATCACACAATTCTAAGCATTTACTTTTTCTTGAATATTAACATCGATATAATTATTTACTTTTAAATTCTATTAAAAAGATTTGTCAGCCAAACTATTGTAATTCCACCTATAACTCCTAAAGTTTCATTAGGTATCTCTTTGTTAAGTCTTAATAGGTATCTCATTCTCTTAACCATGTAACATAGTGATGCCGGATTTAACTCAAACCATAATAGAACAACAAATATTATTATCTCAAGCAATAAAATTGTTACAACTATCACACTTGAAAGGGGAAATACAATAACATGACTCAAGCAAACACCACTAAGTGTATCTCAAGGGTGGTGGAGGTCAGCTAGGTAGATCGGAATGACTGGAGGGAGTGGCGGCAGCAAAGTAATGCTGGTGGCAGCGAAGAGGAGGTGCAAAAATACAGGTACAACAAGTATGGTGGCTGTCTCGGTGATGGCAGCGAGGGGTTGGGCTTGATAGCGGTGGGACAGTAGGAAGGAGGTGTTCTCTGGCTGGCTTGGGCGGCAACGGCACGGTGAGAGGGCTGGGACAGCAAGAACAAGCGGCAGTTTGGACATCAGCAACACCGGAAGGGAGGGGGAGGAGGCTGGGAGGCTGGAGGCTGCAGAAAACAGCAATCAGAATGTTGTTGTGGGTGGTTACAACAAGATAGAGTGATTGAGAGGGATATGGGAGGATGTAGAAGGAGTAGGGGAAAGATAACCACCACCTTAGAAGAGAGATACAACTGGAACATCACTCAATTCCTCATATACAGCTTTCAAAAGGGAAAGTGAACACTGGCAGCTGTCCCGACAGAATTCCGAAATTTGGAAGACCAAAAACTGACTCTAACCAAGGGAAACCGCACATATATATAATGAGGAATAGTTGATAGAATAGGTAGGAAATATAAATAGAAAGGTGATGGAAAATGAAGATGGTAGACAAGGAAAGTGCTAGAAAAGGAAGTGTTAGACAATGCAAGGAATCGAATAGGAAAAGAGGACCGCGGTACTGTAGCTGCTACAATAACATAGTCACTTCTAAAAAATATCAATTATAAAATATTGTTTACTTTTAAATTATATTAAAAAATTTCGGACTAAATTAACCCATGTAAATAATCATTCCACTATTTTGGCACTTTACTCGTATGTAACAAACATCTGAGCGTTCCCAAAGCTCCACTTTCTAGGCTTCTTTTAGTAAATATGTCTTATTTATCAAATACTACATAATCGTCTCGGAAAATGCTATAAACAGGCGATGTGATGCGTGTTTTGCGCCATTCTTATTTAGGATGTATATTTACAGCGATATTTGCAATATCTAATTGATTGTGATTCAAACTAGAAAGTTCTCTTACGAAAGCTTTATTTCTTCTTTCTATCAGGTATGTTAACAGTGGTTTATTGTGTTCCTGGTATCCAGTTTTAGCCATTGTTTCTTGGTAGGTAACATCTTCAAAATTTGTTAACTATTACGAACATCATCTGTATCCAGGTTTTCAAGTAAAAGTTGTGACGTCGGATAAATATGTGAAATGTATCTCCGGCCTCATATATTTGGACATAGAAGTTGGTAATGGTGATTGCCCCAAGGATGGCCAACAGGTTAATCTTGTTGTTAATAGTAATTCTTCATTTCTTTCTGTAAATTTTCATGCTTCCTGTAGTTTTTGCCTAGCAAACATGAAGATTTTAGGAATATTTACATGCATAATTCCCAATTTCTATCTATTTATATATTTAACACCTCTACTTCAATTTTTACATTTATTCCACCCAAATCTTTCATATCACATAAAAAAATACCATCATTATTTTAAACCATCATTTTAAAAAAAGTGAAATAGAGTTCTTCATTCATAGGTAAGGTCGCATGTGTAAAAATTGAAGTGTAGGTGTTAGATATGTAAATACATAAAAATTGGGTGGTTTGTATGTACATCTTCCAAGATTTTATTGTTAAATTTTTTAAAATTGTAATGAGAAGACTGTGGCTTTAGCTTTTTAGTGCAGTTTGGATCATTGTCTTTGTTTTATTTGTATATATCTTATTGTCTTTCTGAGCACAGTTCAGCTCAGTATTTCTCCTCTTCTTCAAGACAGTACTGTTAATCAGATATTGCTGCCACCAGGTCACGTTTCACTATATTGGTTACAACGAATCAGGACGCCGTATAGATAGCACTTATTCGCAGGGATCACCGGCTAAGATCCGTCTTGGCAATAATGCTTTAGTTCCAGGCAAGCAATCTCAATATTGATAGGATTGAGCATTACTTTTTGTATTCATGATTGATAGATATGTCAAAGAAATAAATAAATGCAGGATTTGAGGAAGGCATACATGACATGAGACCTGGGGGTAAACGAAGGATCATTATTCCTCCCGAACTTGGACCTCCAGTAAGTTTTGCAATTAGGGAATTTACCACGTACCAGTATACCACACAATTCTTTTATTTACATATCTAACACCTGAACTTTTATATTGACATACTTAGCACTCAAATCTTTGTTATCGCTTCAAGCATACTACTATTACTAATTTTTGAAAGTAAAATACACATTTTCATGCATAGACTTGTGTTAGATACAATTTTCCTGTTGTTAGGCAGAATACCTGTAAGATATAACGTCCCAATATTAAGATAGCTGTTTGGAATTCTTAATATCAAAGCGTTGTAAATGTATAAAAAGAAATAATTGTTCAAAATCTTGTCAGTACATTCATAATGTTGGTTTAAATAAGGTATTACAATGTTCTACAAATAAACCCGTAGACTTCTTCAAACTTCCATTTTTACCAATAAGACCCTAAATAAACTCTAATTCTCAACTCTCCCCCCAAGGATGGGCAAAAAATATCCACCAAGCCCATCTGGTCACATAACTTAGATAAATCTAATGAGCTAAGTCCTTTAGTGAGACAACCAACCACTTGCTCTCCCGTGGCTACATGACTTTGGTTCAGTAGCCTGTTATTCAGCTATTCCTTGATGAAGGTTCTATCAATCTCCACATGTTTGGTTCTATTGTGTTGCACAGGTTGTTGGCAATGTTGATTGTTGACTTGTTGTTGCATCACAATTTCATTTGAGTTCCTTGGTCCACCTTGAGCTCGACCAACAAGGATCTCAGTCACATCATCTTGGCAACTCCTAAGGCCTTGGCTTTGTACTCCACATATATTGTTGACCTTGCTACTACAGATTGTTTCTTGCTCTTTCAAGAGATCAAGTTGCCCTACAAACATCCAGTACCCTGAGGCGGATCTTTTATTATCTGCACAACTCACCCATTCAGCTTAACAAAAGCTCTCAATGTCTACATGCCCATTCTTCCTGAAGATCAATCCCTTCCCTGGTGCAGTCTTCAGGTATCTCAAAATCTGTTACACTGCATCCATACGGCTCTTTCTTGGATCATGCATGTAGTCGTTCAACATGCTCACTGCAAAAGTGATGTTGGGTTGAGTGTGATACAGATTGATCAGACGACTCATGAATCTTTGGTACCTCTCACGATCAACCGGTTTTCCTGTCTCTGCACTCAGTTTGGTCTTCTGATCAATTGGAGAGACTGCAGGTTTGCACCCCAGCATGCTTGTTTTTGTGAGATCTAATACATACTTTCTCTCAGACAAGACCATCCCCTCAAGTCCACGGGCTACTTCAATCCCAAGAAAGTATATGAGCTGTCCAAGATTCTTCACCTCAAATTATTTGCCCAATTTTACCTTTAGTTGGACAATATATGTTTCATCATCACTAGTGGCAATAATGTCATCAATATTCACAACAAGTATAGTGGCACGATCTTCGTGTTGTCAACAGAATATTATATGGTCTGCATTGATTTGTTGATATCCCATGCCACCATAATTTTTTTAAAGTTGTCAAACTAGGCTCGAGGAGACTGCTTTAAGCCATACAGTGACTTTTGAGCCTAAGCCCTGATGGTATCTCCATATATACTTTTTCCTGTAACTCACTATGAAGAAATACATTTTTCTCATGAAAATTTGTGTAACCTCAACACATCATTTAATGCTAGAGAAACCTCCTCATTGTGCTCATCTTTGTTACTGGTGCAAATTTTTTTTCATGGTCAATGTCATATGTTTGGCTGTATATTTTTGCCACCAGTTGTGCTTTGTCCATCTTCCCTTTAAGAGTTTACTTCACTGTGAATATCCACTTACACTTAACTTCTTTTTTTCCCTCTGGTAGTGACAATATCTCTCATGTTTAGTTTTTATCGAGAGCTCTAAGCTCTTCATGCAGAGCGGCATTCTACATGGGATCCTCTTTAGCAACCCGCCAATACTTGGGTATAGAGGCAGCGTCCTAAGATGTAATGAATGCTCCATATGATGGTGATTTGTTAGAATATAAAACATAGTTAGCAATGTCATGTTCTCACTCAAAATGATCGGGAGGATGTCTTGTATTGCTGCGAGATATCCTCATTAAAGTTGGGGGGTTAGGAGGAGGAGGAATCATATCTCTTGGGAGTTATGGGTCAGAGGTGGATGGTGTGGTGTCTCAACCATCAGGGAAGATCGGAACAAGGGGCTAGCCGACACAAGTGACAATACAAGGATAATTCCTTCATCTTTCTTCCTTCTTTGTGTATACATCCTTAACTCACATTCAGCCTGAATTCCACCACATCTGGGTTTATTATTCTCACTTTTCAGTTTCTTAATTCATTCATTCTCACATCACACGACAAGACTTGCTTCCATGTGTACCACGCTCTCACCATTGATACTCACCCCCTTCCCTCATATCACCGGTATCTAATGAGCCATTAAGGTCACCTCTCGGGTCTAGTACAATTCAAATCCTCTAAATGGCACAACTATGTTCACAAACAATCTCTTCTCTGTCAAGCTCTAGCAAACATACCCTTTTTGGGTAGCAGAATAACCTACGAACACATTTCATAGCCCAGGAATCCAGTTTCCCTATTGATGGTCTATTATGCTTCACAAAACATAACAGCCAAACAACTTAATGGGAGGATCTCAGTATTATCTCTTTTTAACATCTGACAAGTTGACTTCCATTCCAACACCCTCGAGGGCATCCTGTTGATCAATTTAGAAACTGTCAAAACTGCTTGCCTCCATAAGTGTTTTGGGACATTTATTGTGATCATCATGCTTCATGCTACCTCTAGAAGGTGTATATTATTCTCTATACTATAGTTTGTGCCGGTGTGTATGTATGTGTGGTTTGATATTATATCTCTTAGGCTGACAAGCATTCTCTAAATGTTTTGTAGGTATATTATGTTTTATTATCAGACCATAATATCTTTACCATTACATCATATTGAGTCTAAATTGCCTTGTGGGAGTTTTTAAAGCAAGCAAACACATCACCCTTCTTTTCAATCAAACATAACTAAGTAACACGAGAAAAATGATCAATAAAGGGTACAAAATATCGATAACTATTCATAGAACTTGTATAACAAGGTCTCTAAATATCAAAATGTATCAAGTCAAAAACATCAGAACTTCCATTTTAGAGCCGATATAAGAGCTCTCAGTAAACTTACCAAACTTACAATCATCACAAATATGCTTTTGTTTATTTATCTTTTTCCTATAAAGAATGATACAATCAACTTAATAAACTAAAATAAGAGTGTCTCACGCATTTGTGGTGTAGCATTAATACATCCTTCACACTCTTCCCAGAATTTCTTTCTCTGGTACTCTCTACCATGGACGTCAAAGCTAAGTCCATTCCCTCTCGTTCAAAGTACCAAAGTTCACCATGCCACATTCCAGTCCCAAGTGTTCAACCCGTATCTTTCTCTTGGAAGATCACTTTAGGAATATCAAATAAAAAACACATTTTAGATGGAGAATAATGACACAAATAGATAAAATGTTCACTGGAAACAAGCATGCAAAATATTGGACAAAGTCATTTAATGGTACCCCTAATTGTACTTTGTCAACTACAATTTATGTTATACCATCAACAATCTCCATGCTCTTTGGTACTGTTACAGTAGTGTAGGAAGAAAACTCTCTGCGGCACTTGTCACATGTCGAGATGCACCAATATCTACTATTTATTATGATGATCATGTGGTGGAAATAGAGGCAAGAACATGTGTATCATAATTACTTTTATCAGAATGAGTATACGTGACATTGTTACCCATTAATGATGACTGGTTGGAAGAATTATCGACCCTATCTTCTGTTGTTTTATGTTTCCTCTTAACAACTCCAGAAACTTATGATTCTCATCGGTAAAAACCACATGTCTCTCTGTCCTCTACTATAATCAAATCTGCTCAATAGCACCTACCACGGCCTCCAACCTATCCTTATCCATGTCTCTCTCTTTAGGTGACATAGGACAAGTCTTACTCAGATGCCTAATTTTACCATAATTGTAACACTTTCGAGTCTTCACCTGGACACCCATCATACTTGAGCTCGAGACAGCCAAAGCTTATCGCGCACCCGGGAAGTCCTCTCGGCTTAGAGTGTAGCTCCATGCAACTCTCTTTCTATATGATCACAGCAATGACCTCATTCAGTGAAGGGATAATTGCCTGATCCAGGATGACTGATCTCCTATGATCAAAGGTCAGGTTCAGATGAACTAGAAACTGCACAGTTCTCATCTATGCAAAGATCTAACCCTTCTTGCACCCTAGATCACCACAGCTCGACATCAGTGAGAAGTGAGTCAAGATATGTCCATAGTCTCTCTAGATCTATGGAGTGCTCCTGAGTAGATCTATCACTCTATACCACATCCTCTCTCACGTTGAATCTGAAACACCCTTATATGGTTATCAGCTCCAGCATAGATCTTCTTCAGCTTCGCCCAAATGTTCCTCGCCATCCGAATGTCATCTACTGATGAGACAATCGATAGAACCATTGAGTTGAGTAATTAGGTGTAAAGCAAGACATATGTGGTCCTCCACTCATCTCCCTCAGTATTGTCACTTTTTCTTGACCCCCGTCCGGTATCCTGCTAGTCTCTTCCCTACTAGAGCAGCCTCGATTCAACATGACCAACTTAAATACATGGTCGGTCCATCGAGCTTCAGATCCACAGGAGGAAGATCTAGCGTCAGTTGCATTGAAAGACATGTTGAAACAGGGAAAATTTTAGGAATTGGTGGCATATTTGTAAATGCCCCAAAACTCAAATCTTCAAGGCTTCAAGGATTAAAGAAAGAGAAGAAGGCTAAAAAGCAAAAAAGAAAAATAACTCTCATTTGCAGCAACAAATTCGGTAAACTTAGGGAATTTTGATCTAAGAGGATCTTATTGAAAGAAGTTCTTGTATTATAATGTTAGATAGGAAAATGAAGTCATCAGGGGTCAACATGTAAATATGAATCATAAATTGACTATTATGTTAATCCACGAAATTTGAATTGTTTGATGATGATAAGAATAACATGATCGAGTTGACTTTTGAATTTTGATTTTGCTCTAAATAAATTTGTATTTTAAATAGCCATTGTTTGTGTAATTAGTTTACTAAGGAGTAGTTGTACCTAAACCATAATGTGAGAGATGTGGTTGCTTTATTTAGTGGGCATTTACATGCATTCCAACCAATTCTTATGTATTTAGATATCTAAAACCTAAACTTTATTTTTTTGCAGTTATACCACCCAAATCTTTCATATCACATAAAAAATACCACTATTTTAACTTTTAAAAAGTTGAACAAACACACATTTTCATGCATAGGTAAGTTGGCATGGATGTAAAAAGTGTAGTTTAGGTGTGGTATGTATGAAAAAAACCATTTAGAGTTGTGAGAATTTTATTTTATATTTGAAAACTTGTGAATGATTATTTCCAATATGAAATCAAATAATGATGCAGCCTTATTTTGCAATAAATTGTGGAGTGATTTTCATTTCTGTAAATTTGTTATTACAGGTGGGACCTTCCACATTCTTCAGCTCAAAACAGTTCGAAGTTTTTGATGTTGAGCTGCTGAATGTGAAAGACTGCCAGCGCAGGACTATAGCCTTCTATTCTGATGTTGTATGTGACTGAATATCTGGTATATCTTTTTACTTGTCTGAAGGAACTACTGAAAATAATGCTACTTTATTTTTTTCCTGGGGAATTTGCATGCATACCACACAATTCTTGTGTTTTTACATATCTAAACCCAAAATTTGATTTTTACATCAATAATAGTTGTGTTATGATCATATTAAAATCTATGCATGAAGGGGCTTATTACACTTTTAAGAAGTCAGTGTTATTGATCTTTTACATGATGTTATAGATTTGAAAGTTGTATATGCAAATATTAAAGCTTTGTTGTTAGTAGGGCTGTCAAAACGGCTCGTTGTTCGCGGCTCATGTTCGGCTCGTTAAGAAGCTCGTGTTCGGCTTGTTCACAACAAGCCGAACACGAACAACGCGAATAAATATTTATTTGTTCGTGTTCGGCTCGTTTTAGCTCGAAATACTACTAATCAATTACATATTTGTAGTATTTTTAAAAAGTTTAATTAACTACAAGGCTATAAAGATTTATAATCAATTAAAAGTATTAATTAGGAAAACAGAATACCAATTATTAAATTAGATTCAAATGATGTTTTAAATCATGCATCAATCCTTAACATCTTATGGCTACGTGATTAGGGTTGTCAAAACGACTTTTTGTTCGTGAAACGGCTCATAAATAAGCCGAACACGAGCTAAGTTTAGTATTTATGTAAATTATTAAAAATTATGTGGTATTGCTGTAAATTATTAAAAAAAGTTTAGTATTTATGTAAATTATTAAAAATTATGTGGTATTGCTGTAAATTATTAAAAATTATGTGGTATTTATGTAAAACTAAGAATACAGTGTCCAAATATATCTCAAACTAAGAATACAGTGTCCAAATATATGCTTAGGCATATGGACATATATGTTTGTTCTGACTTTCATTGTAGAAAGATTTATTTTTAATAATTGAGTTATAATATTATGAGAATTATGATGTATGTATGTATGTATGTATGTATGTATGTATGCATGCATGCATGCATGCATGCATGGATGGATGGATGGATGGATGGATGGATATGTTGAATCATGATGTGTTCGTGAATCACATCTCAAGATTTAGAGCATAAGGTAGGAGAGAGAGAGAGAGAGAGAGAGCATTTTTCTTGTTGGCTCATCGGAAAATATAATGAAAAATATAATATGTGAAGTTATATATTTGTCATTGTTTTAACAGGAATGTTGTAGAATATTTGAGGTATTTTACATTTATGGGTCCCACATATAGGTTGAGCAAAATAAATCATTTTTTTTGCATTATTCAATTTTTTGCAAATAACATTGTATATTTTTTTTCATATAATGTTGAAATATTGATGTCAATTGTATTATCTTCATAATTCTTAAAGCAACGGACGTCTGAACACAAAACATCAAGTACATCCACAAAATTTTCAGCTGATGAATCTCATGTCATTAAAAAAAATTACACATTAATTTTTGGTATAGCGGGAAATAATACATTCGTTGCGAATAATTTTAGAAATATATTTGATATTTTTAATGATAAAATATATGAGTTAATTTTAATTTTGCATTTATAATATATATATTTATTTATTTATTTATTTATTTATTGTTTTTAAAAGGAATGGTCAGAGGTTATTATACAAGTCTCCAACCACTTCTAATGTGCTTAGTACCACTCTCCATAAGGCAACTGTCGCTAGAGAGGGATTCGAACCTCTGACCTCAGGAGATTTAGGATCCGTTTGGGGCAGCTTATTTGGTGCGGTGGCGTTTTGAAAACACACATGACTTGTTTGTGTTTTCAAAATGCTGAAAACAACATTTTCACACCGTACATTTCGAGGTGCGATGATAATTTTCTAGTAGCGGTCTGGCTTTTCTAAAAAAATAAAAATTTTTAATAGTCACCCCACCTAGTTTACCAGCAGATCATTTTTAATCAGTCTATCAATAGATTATTCAATAAGCTGCAGCTGTCCAAAAATGACCCTTAAAATTGATATCGCAGTTGTCAACCAACAACTAGACCCAATCAACTAAAAGTCCAAATGTGGTGAGTTGTGAGTCTCCACGATGATGGCTAGGTATGGAACATGAATGATGTGAAAATCAAGTTCCTTACATCAATATTAAAATTTAATATCATTTTGTCTTTTTCATGATAAAATTATAGGAAAGTGTCAGGGTATAGGCAGTTAGCTGCCATTAAAAAACAAATGGGTACACTCGTAATTAATTTGTTTGATTGAGATTTAATTTGAATTTAGGTATTAGGGTTTAGGGTTTTGGTTTGATTGACGGATTATTTCAATATTCAACTTGTTTCATTCAAAGATTTGATTGAAAAGCTTATTTAATTTATTTTGTTTGTAGTTGCAAAAAAATTAGTTAGAGGCATTTGCATGCAACCACATAATTCTTTTGTATTTTAGATATCTAATACTTGAGCTTTTCATATTTACATGTATAATACTCAAATTTTAACATTACATTAAAAAATATCACTTAATTATTTTAAAAAAAGTGAATTATATATTTGCATGCATAAATTTATGATACAGCAATGTATTTATTTAAGATTTTATAACTCAAAAGTAAAATGAGATTTCCAAAATGATGTCTTGATTCGATCTGAATCAAATCAAGTTTATATCAAACAATTAAAACTCTTTAGAAGATTTTAGATCGTCAATTGAATGGTCTAATGAACTCCAAATTCGACATATTTACATTCAAATCAGTGTTTAGATGAGAGGAATCTAACAATCTTAAGCTCGCTTAATTTTACGGTCATTAAGGCTCTCAAATCATCAAAACTATGATCAACTAGGATTCGTACGGATCGTTCAATGAATTGGTTGATAAATTTATTCACCAAAAGACCAAAAGACCAAAATACCCTTATCTTGAAGGGGTAGATAAAGGAATTTCATAGCCTGTTCTTGACTAAAAGCTCAGTAATACCATATTCAGTTCATATGGTATTACTAATAGTTTCTAGTTTGCAGCTTTGCTTCAATTAATCAGGCTATGTAATGTTTTGCTCATGGAATCAATCAGTCCACATTCTTCAAAGACTCAATATTTTATAGCCAAAACTGAAAGGCACTCCATCAATTTCTCTAAACAGTAACTCCTTTCGTAATTCCAGTGAAATTAAATGGTCCATTACTATAAATTTGTATTTAAACAAATACGAACATGTATTTAAATGTGTGCATTTGTTTGTAACACAAAGTCATTGATAATGAAATTTAATATGTTTTGCAAGAGAATTTGGTGGTGGAAATATAAATACATGTATTTAGATGATAATACAAGCTTCAGTAGCTACCTTCCACAAATTAAAGATCAAAAATGTAATTTTAGCTAACTTCCCATTCACTCACACCCCAGTTGATCCAAATCCGCCAGCTCCACGAATAGTAGAATCGAGATCTTCAGTCTCAACAACATCTGGAGTTATAATTTTCTGAATAATCAGCTGAGCAATACGATCGCCAGGCTTTACGACAAAATCCAAATCTGAATGGTTGAACAGTATAACACCAACAGGCCCCCTGTAATCAGCATCTATAACACCTGCGCCCACATCAATCGAATGCTTCCATGCCAGTCCTGATCTTGGAGCTTGAAAAAAAGAAGACTTTTAATGGCAAGTAAACCAGTAAAGAATAAATTTAACCTTTGATTAGGAGTAAAAATTGGAGAAAATGTGAAGTTATTAGAAAGAAAACGAAAATGTATTTTCATTTCGAATTAAAATTTATAGAAAATGAAGATAAAACGCAGTGGTTAAAAAAAAAAACTTTTGACAATATGTAAATCATTTTTATTTTCAAGAGAAATGAAATTTACATTCAAGCTTCAATCCTCATCATGTTTATCTGACAAATAAATAGATGGTTGATCTCATTAACTGCTTAAACAACAACTAATGAGAATGGATATCTTTGAAAAAGTTCATCACTCAAACTACAATTGTCCAATTTTAATTTCTAGCAAAAACGAAAATTGAATCCTATCAATACATAAAGGCAGCAATATCTCCTCAGCAAAGACTAGTGTGAGAATTTCAAAAAACTCTTATCAATTTTATGCATAAAATTTAAGCGAAATGCATACATATTATGTAACTGCAAAATATTATCAACATTATATCAACAGGATTTTTTTTCTGTCATCCCTGAAGCACCTACCGATTCGTGCATAAGTATTTTCTGGTATAGCAATGCTGAGATCGGTAGGAATAAGAGCTTTCCCTCTAGCCGGAACTTTGACCTCTGCAGCACTGAAGAAAAAAAAGCAGTTAATATTGCTAAAAGAAATGGTCGCCTCCATTTGCAAATAAAGGAAAAAATAACCAGAGGAAACCAAATTTACCTGGAGAGATCATATCCAGCAGAAAGAGAAGAACATCTGAAAGGCAATATGGCATTGGAAGAAAGCTTCTTTACCTTGAGGAAGGTGAGGCTGAGAGGTGCCTCTTCGGAGAGTCTGGCAATTTTAGAAAAAGGTTCGTGGATTTCGCTGTTTTCTGCCATGCTGCTTTGAACCTGAAGCGAGATGAATGGAAGGATTCAACCTGTTTGGATTTTGTAGATGGAGCGCGCAAATGAGATGGAAAATTCAAAGTTAAGCGGGCGAAACTAAAAATTCTTCCTGTCATTTGAGAGCTCCCGGATCTTCTAGGGTTTCTTAATAAAAACTATTCTTTGTCACCGGTCATTGGATTCGGCAGCCTTGGTTTTTCAATCAAAATTTAAGGTTTGTTGAGATAATTAGATAGACAACAGCCTAAACATTATTCTTTACAAAACTGGCACACAATTGATTTTTTTACTCAATTGAGCTCAAGTCGCTTAGAGAATGGAGTGTGTCATCGTATGAAACATGAGGAAAATATTGTATTAAAATATGAATTTATTTTCAAATGTTATAATGTGTGCTAAATTAATCCAAATTTAGATTATTGTTATTTTAAAATAAAATTATGGACTTTAAAACTAGAAGTGTGTTATAATATTCATGACAGTAGAGTGATCTTTAATGTCTTAGCATTGTACAAAGATCCAACACACACCAATATTTTTTACATAAAAACATCCTGAAATGGGTAAAAATCACAGGGAAAAGAGTAAAAATCACAGGGTCTAGCCAAATCAAAATAATACACTATATGATTGTAAGTGAATGGATTTACTCTTTTTCTAAATTAGAGAAGATAGAATTTCAATGTTGATAGTCACATATATACAGTAGTAGCTTAGTTATAATTGTCATAATTGTGCTACAACAAACATTATTATTTGTTGTAAGAGCAATAGTTAGTCACGAAGGTTGTAGTTGGTCATAGAAGCTGTAGTCGGTGCCTACAACAACAAAAGTTAGCCACAGTGGCCATATGCGGTGATTGTAATTGTGGTAGTTGGCCTCAAAAGTCATAGTTAAGAATTTTGATAGCGTCAGTCGATCACAGAGATAGTAATTGGTGACTACAGTAGCATCGGTTGGACAAATGTCATAATTAGAAGCTGCAGTAGTTGTTAACCAAAGGTCATAATTGGTCACATAGTTCGTAGTTGATAGTTTCAGTCTGGCACAGAGGTCATAGTCGTAAGTTGCAGTATCATTGGGTTTGTCTTGTCAATAACATTAATTTGATTATAAACTTATTGAAATCAGAGACCCAAATGATCTTTGAATTTGAATATGAAATATTTATTATTAAAAAAATACTTTGAGATTTAGGCTAGTTGATAAAAATTTTTGAAGATTCATCAAAACTCAATATGACATTTTTGAATTTAACTTCTTTATATAATCTAAGTTCTAATGAAAATAGAGCTAATAAAATAATATAAACTCATAAATTTTTTTTTCAGTCTAAACTCTAACTCAAGTCATTGAAACTAATCAAAAAAAGAAAATTACATTCGATTGCATTATATATTGATGACGAGTTAAGGAATGTCACGTGGAATTGGCAATATAATTTATTAAGGAAACATCTAGATATATTGTATTAATAGGGGTTATTCCTTAATTATAAACTCAAATGTTTAAATTGCAATTAGTAAGTCTTTCTTAACTTTTCCTAAAAAAACTTGCCACCAATGCCCTTATAATCATACATATGATCCCTCAATGAAAAAAGAAAGTAACTTACTAGCAAGAGATTTTCCTTGATAATTGAATCTCATAGAATGTATATGCAGGAGCAAGTTTATAATCAGTTCTGAAAAGGATTCATAGCATTTTAAAAGACAACTCCGTGAGATTGTAAGCTTTGAAAAAAGACTAACAATTCCATCTTAGAATAAAGGTTGCCAGGTAAACAGTAAGAAGCAAATTCTAGCACGGACCATAAGAAAAAGTCGAGGAAGATTTACATACATTCCACTCAATCCTTACGTACTTAGACATCTAACACCAAACTTCAATTTTTTACATATATACCAACTAACCTATGCATGAAAAGGCTTATTTCACATTATTAAGATTAAAATTGCAGTATTTTTATGTGATGTGTAAGATTTGGGTGGTATAAATGTAAAAATTAAAGATTGCCTCCCAAAACTTCAAAAACTAGGTTTCATTCAAAAATAAATAAATAAATCTTAAAAAAATTAAAGAAAATTTCAGGTAAGAGGCTAACGTAAAGTTAAATATGAAATAGTAAGGAAGAGATACTCAAAGATGACACCAAGGTAGCCTTACAAGCAACCAAGCAAGAATATCGAGCACTCGATCCAACGCCGACCCGCCAAGGACTTTATCGAAGACAAATAGAAGTACAGATTAGAGAACGAATGCAAACAACAAACCCTAACCTCTCGCGAGTCGGGAGCGAAAGCTTTTCGCGATTTTGAGACAACAAGAAAACAAGAAGAACAGAAGAAGCGCGGGCCAAACCCGAAAGCTTTCGAGAGAAGTGAGGCCGTAGTGTTAACGGGCAAAGGGCATTAGGGTTTTAGTTTCTATTTATATAGAGTACATTATATTAGTTATATGAGTTATATTATATAAATATATAATATTTACATTACTGATATTGATATATTATTATTAATAATTTATTATATAATATAATTTATATGATTTTATTTTTTAAAATATGATACATTTTTAGAGTATATAATTATTTATTAAATATCATACATTTTTTATATATAATTATTTTAAATTATTATATATTTCGAACAATATTGATTCGAACACGAACGAACACTTCACTGTTCGTGTTTGGTGCGTCTCGTTTGCTTATCGAACAAATCAAACATGAACTCCCTGGAGATGCGAACACAAACTGTTCTCAAACAGCGAATTTTTTTTACAGCCCTATATATGAGTCTATGGCTCGACTACCCTGTTACTTGACTAGCAGAGTTTGGCAAGACTATGTTGAGTTGAGGTTATTGGTTAGTCTTTGATGGTCTTCGGTTTGATCGTGTTAGCTCAACTGGTTAGATTAGCTAATTGGTTGATCTGATATGATTGTCGACCTTTGATTCATGATGAGGAGCTCTTGTTGGTTGAGTGAGGTCGGGTTTTTGGGTAGAGAGTGAATCATCGTAATCTGATAGGTAATGTATTCTCCACGAGGAGGAATGATTTAGATTTTTTGTGACACGCTTGCTTCTCGATCCCTGATAAGGAGCCTATAGGGCATCAGCGGGATGACTTATGGTATTTGAGGAGTTGAGTTTTTTTTCCTTATGTTCAAGCTTGGATCACCTAACGCTTTTAGTTTTGTGGACTCTAGCGCGGATGCCTGCCTCTTGTCGGCTTTGATTTTGGCTTTGGTTTGAATTGTTACATCCTATTAGATAAATGAATATTTCAGTCTTCTGCTAGTGACCCCCCCCCCCCCCCCCAACTCAGTTTTATTTTTTCTGCAGCCTAGACCTTTTAGATCTCCTAGACATTCGTGCCGGCACATTTCAGATGTACAACATACATAGAAAGTACACACATGCACACCAAGGCGGTTTTTTGCTAAAAAAAAGATTTAATTTAAATAGGAATTAATAAATTTTGTAAATCCAAAATTATTAAATCCAAAAAGGTTAAATCAAAAAAAATATGTGATTCAATTAAAGTAAATCGAGTTAAATCTTTTTGAAGTGTTTGGCTTCGAGAGAAGCGACGACTCTCCTATCATCTCTTAAATTCCTTAAATTCATCATATAATTGGATTTAATATATCCAGGATTAATATTAAAATAGAGATAATTTTGGATTTAGATAACACTGGGATTTAAATTAAGTTTTTTTTTTTTTTGTGCTTGACAAGTTAAGTTAAATTTAAAGCAAATTCATATTTAAATTGCGTACAAAACACCCCATAAAGTAATAGATTAAAGTTTAAATACATCTATTTAACGAAACATTAATTGAATAGGGATAAAAAATTTGAGTATAAATTTTTACACAGCTAAACATCAATATATTTGTGGACTATATAAATTGTTACATTTGACTATAGGGAAAACAATACATTTTTCAAAATTTTACTAGATCAAATATGTATCTCAATGCAATATTTATAAATTGTTAAGAAATTGAGGGCAAAGAAAATCAAAAATTGACAAAAATTCAGAAGAAAATACAAATATTTAACGAGGTTCAGTAATAAGTCTGCGTCATCGGGAGCAGAGCGACAATTTCACTATTCCAGAAGGAAAGTTTGGTACATACCCATAGAGTTACACACAAATATATAGATAAAACCCACAGATAAAATTACTAAAACGCTCCCGCTCCCCCAACTCACTTAACTTCAAGTGACACATCTTTTCACTCCAAGAGACATACCTCTTCACTCCAAGAGATACACATATTCATTCTAAGAGACACATATCTTCACTTCAAGAGACACACATCTTCATTCCAAGAGACACGACTTCACTCCAAGAGACACACATCCTCATTCCTAGAGACACATCTCTTCACTTCAAGAGACACGTCTTTTCACTCCAAGAGACACATCTCTTCTACTAATTTTTTGTATATGAGTCATGTCTAACAAATCTCCACTTTGGCGAAAATCCAACCCTTTAGGAGAAAAATACATTGGAGTTTCTCATAAACCAAAGTGGGTTGAGCTACCATGTCGTCTAACAACTGCAAACATTCAACAAGTTTAAGCAATGCCAGAACTTGTTGATAGTAACTAGCTTGGTCAACATATCAGTTGCATTTTCATCAGTATGCATTTTCATCAGTATGAACATGATTTTTAGCTAGATAAATGACACTCTGACTGTCACAATGCAATTCCAATGCAGCTAAACTCCACCTTGTTCAACACCCAGTTCTTGTACTAGCCCAACAAGTCATAATTTTGTATTATCATCATATGATTCAGCAGAGTGAACTTCATACACAACTGTACACCCCAATAGTTTATAAATATTACCTGTAGTAGTATTTCCTTTCATCACAGTCAATGCACCTTTAATAATTCGAATGGTTTCTTTATCTTTATCTGCCTTAGGAATAAAACCATTTCTGTGTAAAGTGCCTAAAGAAATTAAATTACTCTTCAAATCTATAATATGTCTTACATCACATAATGTTCTGACAGTTTCATCACACATCTTAATTCTGACTTATACAATACTAGCAATATTGCAACATCTATCATCACTAAAATAGACTGAACCAGAATCAGATAACCTGTATGAAGTAAATCACCCCCTGTTAGGCGTTATGTGAAAATCATTCTGAATCAAGAATTCATACATCATTCAATTGAGTTATTCTAACTGAAAGCATATCACCATTACTGCAATCTGAATTGTCACTCTGCACCATATTCACAGACTTGGATGATGCATCATGTTTCTCATCAGTCAGCTTTCTTGAGCTTTGGACAATCACTGTTCATATGACTCGTCTCCTTGCACTTGTAGCAATGAATCATCTTTTTGTCTTTAGACTTTGACCTGAAATTTTGCCTTCCAGAACTCGCCCTCTCCTCCTTCTTTCCACGATCCTTATTACCCTTAACATATAAGTTATTATCATGAGAGTTTTCCCCTACATTCTGCTTCCGCTGGTTATGAGCCAACAATGCTACAGTAATCTCATCAACTTTGATTATTTCTTTCTCATATGTAAAAGTAGTCACCAGGTGTTCATAGGAGGAATGCAATGAACACGACAAAATCATTGTTCAGTCTTCATCCTCAATACTCACATCAAGTCATGATAAATCTGTGATTATTTGATTGAAGACATTCATATGCCGACATTTTCATATGCCGCGCCAGATCAAAGCCTTATTGTATCTTCAGCCCATATAACTTTTGCTTCAGATATAGTTTATTTGTCGGAGATTTGGACATAAACTGACTTTTCAATTTATTTCATACCTCTCTTGGAGATTTCAGATTCATAACATCATACCTAATCTCATGCAAGACATAAAAGTATGGTACTTGCTGCTTGTTGTTGCAATTATTTCCAATCTCCATCTTCCATATTATCAGACTTCGTTGCTAGCAAAGCCTTCAAGATTTTATGTTGTGTCAACAGATCTTTCGCCCTTATTTGCCACAATCTGAAGTTCTCGGTTCCATCATATTTTACCACTTCGAATTTTACACCAAATAATGTCATCTGAAATTACTCTTATCAAGATCTGTCACGATTCTCAATTCAGGGAAGACTGCTTTCCGAGATTGCGTTCCTTCTTATCATTGAACCGTCTAAACTCCTTTGCCAAACTCCTCTGTGTCGGTGTCGGCGTCTGGTTTGAACTGTATTGAACTTTTTCGTTGAACTCCCTGAAGCCCACTCACCAACTCCACAGTGAACTGCCTCTCTGAAACTGCCGCAAACCGTCAGTCTTCTTCTTCCTCTTCGATCTCCTCTACGAAACTGCCGCAAAACACCTCTTCCCGCGATTCACGAACTCCCCTGCAAAACACCAAAGTTGCAAACTCCTTCTGGTCACTGAAGCCGCATGGTCGCGGGAACTTCGCCTGGTCGCTGACTTTCGTCTGGTTGCGATGCCGCGAATCCCTCTCGCCGAACCGCTGGCCTTCATCTCTCAACTGTCGCAATCCTAGAACTTCCTGAAGCCCTAGCCAAACCTTTATACCCAATCGTTGAATCCTTCTTCGTCCTTCCTGCACCGAATTTTTCTGCCCTAAAACCTCGCTCTGATACCACTTGTTGAGAAATTTAGGGCAAAAAAAATAAAGAATCAACACAAATCTAGAAAAAAAACACAAATATTTAATGAGATTCGACAATGAGCCCACGTCATCGGGAGCAGAGTGGCGATTTCACTATTCCAAAAGGAAAGTTCGGTACATACCCATAGGATTACACAAAAATATATAGATAAAACTAACAGATAAAATTACTAAAACACCCCCGCTACCCCAACCCACTTAACTTGAAGAGACACATCTCTTTTACCAATTTCTGGTATATGAGCCATATCTAACATAATTCAACACAAGGCCATTTAAATTTTAATTTTAACAAACTTATAAATGATGTGAACAATTTATGGAGATAAATTATTGACAATAAAAATGATTTTTTCTAATTTCAACTCAAATTAGAGGTCTGGAGAGCGAGGGGGCGGGTCCCCGTCCAAAGTCCCATTCTGTACTTGGAGAACCCTGAGATAATTTTAATGTGAATGTGATTTGCAACTGTCAAAGTTGTCAAACTGACAGGAATCAACAATACATAGACCGTCCTTGATATCTCAAGAGATGAGGGTATTGAAATCCCACGACACTTTTAATGAAGGATGTCATACATGGTCGGTATGACCGCTGGCTTGATGGAAGACCCCTGCTTTAATTATCTTACGACTTCCTTAATGAAGGATTGATAGTTATCTCTATCAGTATGGTTGGCATTATTAATGCTGCCCTGGTTGACCGCGCTTTTTGATGGATCGAGTTCAACCACTTATGCCAATGGACTCAATTCATTCGCTTCAGTCGGTGATAAGGCTGTCAAAAATGCTTGTTGCTCGCGAACTGCTCGTGTAAGGCTTGTTAAGCGACTTTTGTTCGATTCATTCGTTAAGCAAACGGAGCGAACACGAATAATTTTTTTGAGTTCGATTCATAAACGAGTCGAACATGAACAAATGTTTGTTCATCATATTCCGCTCATTTCGGCTCGAAATAATTAAATAATAATAATTATTTGTATTATATATATATATATATATATATATATATATTATATATATTAAATAAATGAAAATATTTATTATTTTTAAAATTTATTTGAGTGGTATGTTTATAAAAAAGATAAATTTGTAGGTGTGAGATATGTAAGTACATAAAATTTGGGCGATCTATATGTTTAATGTCCCTAAAGTAAAGCTTATCTCAAGCATTTGCTTATTTGGTGCGGTGGCGTTTTCAAAACGCATCTGACCTGTCTGGGTAAACTGCGTTTTGACAGCCTATGCATTTTCAAAACGCTGAAAACAACGTTTTCACACCGCACCTGTCTAGGTGCGGTGACAGCTTTCTGGCTGACATCAGACTTTTCTAAAAAAATAAAAATTTGTAGTAATTACCACACCTAATTTATCGTCATATTATTTTTAATCAGCTTATCAGCAGATTATTCAATAAGCTGCAGCTGCTCCAAACAAGTCACACCTCAGAGATGATAAAAATTAGTTTGTGAAAAGTCTTTTAAAAAACTAAGGCTCTACTAAAAAAAAATAAATAGCGCAGTTTGGGTGTATAACATCCAAATTGTTTTTACAAAAATTAAATAATTTATATAATTTAATAATAATTTAATTCATTGTATTATTTAAGAATCTTTTCATAAGGCACAATCCTCATAGTTTATTTCCTTAAAAATAAATTAATTGATTGTAATTAGGGGCATCTATACACATACCACCCAAATCCTATTTATTTACATGTCTAACACTCCAAAATGTTCACATTACATAAAAAATATCACAATTTTTAATAAAAAAATAAAAAAAAATTAAAATACATATTTTTCATGCACTTGATTGAGACATTATGCAAAAATTGAAATTTAAGCATTTGTTATGTAAATATAAAGGAATTGAGTGGTATGTATGTAAATCTTCCTAATTTTTTTTTTATATGAAACTGTGCATTTCACTTTTTATAAATTAATAAGTAATATTTTTGATGTGCTGTCAAAAATATAATTTCAAAAAAAAAAAGGGGCAATTTCATGCAGGCCGAAACATTGTATTTACAAATCAACCACTCTTTTCATTAATTTTTCTTTTAATCTGTATAAACGCTGCTGTGGATGGAGATTCACGCAACCTTCCGATAGCAGAAATAAAAAGCAGGTTCTTCCCTTGTTAACCTCCGGCGACATCTATCATTGTAATTAGGGTTTCATTTTTATGGAGAATTCTTCTCTTTCAATATCGTTGATCAATGCAATTTTCATTGGGTTTTCGTAGTTGATTGGTGGAATCTTTTTTGATCACTTGATTGCTGCGAAACAGAGAAAGGGTCGGCGATGGGTAACACGGGGAGTAGCGGAGGAGGAGGAGGAGGCGCAGGTCGACGAAGAAACCATGGCCATCACCATCAGCACCACGGCCCTTCTATGATTCCACCGCCTGCCCCGCAGCAACAGCCGCCGACGCCGCCTCCGGAGGTCTCGGCTGGTAATCGTTATGTGTTTGCTGCGGCGACGCCTTACCCTCAATACCCCAACCCTAATGCTCCGCAGTATTATCCGTACGTCGGTTCTTACCCGCCACCGCCGCCGATGCCAGCTCAGATGCCTCCGCCGTTCGATCACTACCCGCGTGGTGGCGGGGATCATCCTGCTTATCATCCGGGCTGGGCTACTGCGCCGAGGTATCCGTATTGCTCCGCACCGCCGCCCCCGCCTACTCCTTTCGCGGAGCATCAGAAAGCGATCACAATAAGGAATGATGTGAATCTCAAGAAGGAAACTCTGAGGATTGTGCCGGATGACGAGAATCCTGGAAAATACCTTGTTGCTTTCACCTTTGATGCCACTGTTTCAGGAAGGTAATGTTTTTTTATTATTATTTTATTTTGTTTTATATGTTTTTCAACTTATGTTTTTATTTATTTGTTTTTGCTGCATGCTTAGTTGTTCTGGTGTTTTTGAGCCTGGATATTTTTAGTGTGCCTGGTTGATGTAATTCGGGTATTTTGATTTTGAATCCTGATATTTGCTGAACATTGATAGCTCTTCCAGCTCAGTTGAAGTGCTCAGCGGTTTTTGTCATCTTTTACTAGTTGACACTAGTTTCAGGAGCACATAATGTGATTTTTGTTTATGCTGAGTTTAGATAGGTTTTGCAAGTAAAATTATCCATTTGTATTCTTTTTCTAAATGTATAAGAGATCTGGCCGGGTGTAATAATGTAAAATGGAATATTTTTTGGCTCCTCCACATTCCATCATGTATAAAATGTCTTAGTTCTCGTGCAAGCAATTTCCAAAATTTGATAGATAGAGTCAGGTGCATTTTGTACAACTAGACTAGGAAATTCTATTTATTCTATTACTTTGCCGAGTCATTTATTTTGGCTTGCCAGTTTACTTTATATGATTAATGTTCTTTGATGTATATATTTATGTACAATTTTTATTTTTTTGGAGGTCGTTAGTTTGAGTATGGTTTTTGAGACAAGGGAATACTCAGGTTTCATTTAGATTAAAATCATAATAGAAAGCCTTCCACCCCCTAAGATAGAATTAATACTTCAATAGTCTTAAGAGAGTTTGTCTTTCTTTCATTTGGTTGAATGTTGAAACCTAAATAAAATTCCAAAAACTTCGATCAACTTTTTTTGACTATTATGATTAGTGCTATAGTTTGATGTACATTATCATTATCATTACGGTGTATACTTTTTTTTTGCAAGCTTTTTTATTCAATTTTTATTAATATTATCTTAGGGCTCCTCTTCTTTTCTTTTTATTTTTTGGACACAAATTTTATCAGCTTGTTTGAGTGGCATGTTTTCTACCAATTGTTATAGATGTTCCAACCACTTTATTTTATTTCTAGTAATCTCATCTTCAATAGATTTCACTCCAACCTCTCTCTAATGTAATCATTTCTAATTTATTTTTCATAAGTTTGTCACTCATTTATCTTAACATTGTCATTTTTGTCACACTCAACCAAAATTAAATAACCTTTTTACAACCAAACATTCAAATTCTTATAGCATCACTGACGAAATTTTAATTTTATAAAATGCAGGTTAACATATATACTATTATCACACAAAACTTTCTAGGCACTTCTCCATTTTAATTTTCCAGTTTTATATTTAGCAGATATACTATCGTCTATATCTTACCATTTTTATATAATAAATACAAGATTCTTAAGAAAATACAAGATACTTAAATTTATTACATCCAAGTATCAACTTATCTTTTAATATTATTGAATTATAATCGTTAACCTTCATATTTACTTAATATGTATCATATATTCAAGTTTTATTCTACTAATTATAAGATCTCCATATTCTAATTATTTTTGTTACTGTTCTAAAATTTTCTACCAAATTCAATGTTAGGGCTTACCCGTCTGAGCATAACCCCACGACCATGCCTCCTTCCCATTTAGTCCATTCACAACGAAATACCGCTCCACCGAATAAACCTAATCACGTGTCTTCCCCCTAGACGATCATCATTTTCAACTTTCTAAATATTCACCCTAACTTCTCTCTCTTGTGGTTACCTCCATGTATCTATGGTAAAAATCTTTTCTTCGATCATAGTCATGCCCCATCTTGACTTCTCTCATTTCTTCTCCGTACTCTTCCATACCCCTTGCATAACCCCTTCCTCTTGTTTTAGCCTAATCCTTCAATCGAAAATCTCTAATCCACTCCCCATTGGAACCCTAGGAAGGGAATTCTTGATGCTGGATACTTTTCTCTTCATGTTCCTCTCGTCTGATCTATTTCCTTTTAGATTAGACCAAGAATTCTCCGGTCAAATCTTAGCTAGGGTTTGCAATTTGAATCGTCGGTTGGTTTTTGGATTGCTTCTCAATTGGCCTTTTCATCATCTCCTCCAAGGCCTCAAATCAACCTACAAATCAGTTTTCCATAGAAGAAAATGTCTATTTTATGGTTGAGAACATTTCCTTCATCCCAGATTTAAGTTGTCATACTTCTTTTAATCTCTCTTCCGAAGTATTCACTTTCTTTGTTGCCAACTCTAAGATTTTGCTTTATTGTTTTTCAACTAGGGCACGCTGCAATAGTTGCCAACCAACTTGAATCATGATAGTACTGCGAAATTGGGTCACGGTATGCCACAGTCCCATGGTTTGCATCCCAATATCTAGGGATCCGCATGTTTCTCTTAGATGGTTTTCCATCTAGCTCGATTTGCAACTCTATCGCGAGGTTTGGTCACAAAGGCAGTGGGGTGATACACCAAAATAATGTACTGTTTTAAATACCTATTTTATGCTTATTTTTGGTGCTATTGCACTTTAAAGAAGATTATTTTTGTGTTTTTGTTGCATGTATATCATTTTTAGCATTTAGAGCAAAAATGACAAAAAAGACAAAATTTGGAGCAAAAAGAGTTAATTTTGGATTCTGGCGCATGATGCGCCAAAATTCAGAGAGCTGATGCGTTAGAGACGACTTTTTCAAATTAAGTCGATTCGAGACGAATTTTGCGCAAATTTTCAAAGGGACACTTGTTCTACACACCTCTTGGAGTAATTTAATACATCTAGACACTTTGGAATGACACTTTGGAAACATCTAGACACTTTGGAATGTTCTTTTATGAAGGGATATGACTCTTGGATCAAATGACACATTTTTTGAATTCAACAAAGTTGATTTTAGAGGAATTTTTAGAGTGAATTTTGAATTCTTTTCCAAAGGAGGCAACCCAAAATAAAAGAGGAAAACTTGAAGTGGCTAGGGGAGACCAAAAAAGAAGAGGCTTTTGGGTGCGGCGTGAGAGGTAGAGAGAGAGAGAAGGGGAAATTTTCTTTTAGGTTTGTAAGATGAGAGAGAAGGTGAGAGATTTCTTCTTCATTACATTTCTAAGAGAGAATTGAGAGTGATTGTAAATAGAGAAAAACTTGGAGAGAACTTCTAGGGATTTGTTTGGGAAAGATTGTGAGATAAGTTGTATTTTTATTTCTTTTGTTTTGTAAACTTTTTTTTATATATGAAATTCGTGTTTTATTGTATCCTTCTTGTATCTTTTATTGTATCCTTCTCATGAATTCTGAGTAGTCTTCTCTATCCTTCTCCCCACTTTGAAGATATAGTTTTGTGAAGAATAAATTTTGTTTTTTACAGTTTTAAATGATAATAATTTGTGATGATTTGAACTCCGATCTTCATTTACTTTTCGATCTGACCAATTGAAATATTAAAATTTGTTGAGAGATTGTTGAGAGACATATGTGTTGAGAGACATATGTTCTTTAATTATATATGATTTCTACAACATAGGGAGAATCACATTTGATTTCATGGGAGAGCATGTCATCCATGAGATTGAGTGCAAATAAATATGAAAAAATACTTTTGTTGGATGCAGTTGGAGATTTTAAGGTGATAGATTAAAACCCCCAATTTAGTTCAGTTGATTGAAAAATAATGCAAGATTGTTAGCCCTCAAGGGAGGGAGTAGTGAAAGCTCTGGAGTGGCAGCCGATATTCCCTCAGCCGAACTATGAAATTAGGGATCAAACTCTGGATTATTCAATGTTCTTTATATTACTCGGAAGAGGGTAAAGAATAAGATTGCTCCTATTTAACACAAAATAATTTATATATATATTTTTTCAAATGGTTTCAATTTCTTAAAAAATCATATACTCATTATAAAGGAGAATGATGTTTTCTTAAATTTGAACTTTTCATCACAAAAAAAAAATTGTTTAATTTTTGCAATTTTACTTTTGAAAGTTTAATATTTAGTTTAGTTTAATTCCTGTAATCTTACATTTGCATTTTAATTAGCATTCACCTGAGTAGTCAATTTACAAATTTCACATTTTACTTTTATTTATTGTTTTTATTATAAAATAATTTTCATAATTTACTTTAGGATTTTCCAACTTCTTTGTGGGATCAATATCTAAGACTCCATTAGAGCTCTTTGTTACTTGAACAATACGTATGCTTGCGTTGATATTTATGAGAGATTTGACAGTTTAAAAAGAGTTTTAAAAGATAAATTATATTTATAAAAAGAGTTTTGTTAGGATTATATTGCATATTTATTATAAATTTGTCTGCATCGAGTTTTTGGCGTCGTTAAGTGGTGTCAACTTCATAAATATTTGCATATACAAATCTCCCTGTCATGGGGATCTCGATTTTGCTTTCTTGATAGCTTGCTCGCGGTTGTATCGAGCCTATAGTATGCCATAATTTAGTCGTTTGCTTCTCTGCTATGTGGAATCGTGACACCGCTGCATGTGTTTCTTCGGGAAGGTGCGACTTAAGCCCCTTTAAGTATTGATCCTGCACCTTGTAAAAAGTGATCCCGTTAGTTTTCGATCGCAAATGTTTCTTGCAATGCCCTATATCCTGTAGCCCTATATGCTTTCTGCGTCGCGATCCTTCTACACAGATTAGGGCAAAACCCTAACAAGTTCACGCCCGAGATTCTCCTCATAATCGAATGCTCTGATACCAATTTGATATGCACATAGACGAATTCCCACAGAAATTAGGGCAAACCAATATTTTCTTTAATAACACGAAACAACATAATCTGATTGCATAAAGATAGACACCTATAATTCAAGAGGTAGGTGATATCTCCCGACTTCAGACAACAATTTCATAGTGTAACCTAATCCTCAGCATAATAAGCCCCATTATACCCCATAGTAATAACTAATAAAAGTATAAATTGTCCTTAAACGCCGACGTGACACTTTCATTAAAAAATGAGCTGAAAGTGTAATAGTTGGTTTGTTGTAATACCTTTTTTTTTTGCCATAGAAAAGAGCTTTGTGAAGTGTTTGCACGGTGGGAGTTTCT